CCACACAGAGCACCACTACTCGAGTGCAAACTACCACGCCCGCTGCTACAACCGCCGGAACTCCTGAAACGACCACCTCCGCCCCTGAGCAGACCACTACCGTGCCGCCCGCGCCTGAGCAGACCACTACCACGCCGCCCGCTCCTGAACAGACCACTACTACGCCGCCCGCTCCTGAGCAGACTACCACTACCACTACTCGTAGAACCCGGCCGCAGACACAACCCACACAGACTACCACTACCAGTGGGCAAACTACCACGCCTGCTGTAACGTCTGCTGGAACTTTTGAGACTACCACTCCCCCTGGAGAACAGACCAGCACGACGGCTGTAACAACTGCTGGAACTCCTGAGACTACCACGCCCGCTGGTGAGCAGACTACCACCACCCGTAGAACCCGGCCGCAGACACAACCCACACAGACTACCACTCACGCTCGTGAGGAGACTACCACAGGTGAGCAGACTACCGCTCCGGCTGAAACTCCTGAAACTGTCACTACCGCTGGAACATCGGAAGCCAGCACTCCGACGATTCCCACTGCTGAACAGACAAGCACCCCCGCTAGTGACGCCGTGACCACCGCGACCGCGGTAGAACGGACGACAAGCACAGCTGCGGAAGAGCTGACTACCACACCTTCGACATCCACCCGCACAATTTCTATCCAACCAACTGTGCCTCACACCACAGCTCCCGTGGAGCCTCCCAGCGATCAGAATACTACCGTCATTGGTTTGGCCGCCGCGGGAGGGAGCGTGGCGGTGCTTGGTGCTGCGGCGTATGCTGGAGTTCAGTCTGGTGTGTTCTCCAGTGCGCTCGGAGGTGGAGAGTTTGTTGGTGGAGGCGAAGCCGAAGGAGCGATGGTGGAAGAAAACCGAGAACAGCTCCAGACTGTGGACGTTGGCATGTTCGCGTAGAAGATGTATCGGCAATTTTTCACCTTAGATTATCTTTGAACACCTCGACGAGGGAGTTATTTTTTCCTTGCACTATTCGGCTCGGTGACTGCAGACGACTTCACTTGTAACCACAATCCAAACAAATACCTTTGTGGGACAAAATACTGCCGGCAGCTGCCCACAACCTTCTTGTCGCGTACTATTGAATACAATTTTGTGATATCGTATCCAGCGATAAGCGTTGTGAGCATGCGTGCTGGATGGCGTGGGAAAGGGGTCCACCAGTACAACAAAAACGGGATGGGGCGGATGTCAGGGACAACTCCCGACAGTTGCATTGGACAAGAAAACAAGCGGGAAACAATAGAAAGCTGGTTAGCACTTGCGAGAACGGTACGTGTTGATGGCATGTGAGTGGCTACGCGTGGACGGCCCCCCAGTTGGCCACAGTTAGCAGTCGGACTAAGAGGGGACATGACTCATCATAACCGCGGGTCAGTCACGAGTTGATCTACGGTTGGTTGAAGTACCAGGAGTTCGTATGAGGTTGTTAGAAGTGTGGGGTGACGTATGTCAATAGATACCCACTGGCCAGCATGTAGGACGCGGGGTGAAGCAGAACTGTTTCAGGCGTCAAAGTCGGGAGCTACACGAGGTTGCCGATGTCGCTTATAGACGTACGGCGGCACACAAGTGGTCCACGGTTGGTGAGAGCGCGCGTACAGGAGCGGTAGCAGGAGACTTTATCTGGGTTGTTGTAAGCACGCGTTGATGACACTAGAGTGGACGGCGGCTGTACCTGCGGTCCACGGTGAGCGAGAGTACGCGCGGACGGCGTCTCAATGGCCCATGGCTGGCAGCTGCACTAGCAGGGGGCATGTGACTGGCCCACGGTTATGATGAGTTCGAGATGACCACTCAGAGACGGCAGTCTGGAGGTCCTCAGTTGTCACAGGTGCGTCGGAATAGCAAGTGACCGGTGTGCGGTGAAGAGAACAGTGTCCCCATGGCGGGTGATCGGTGCAGGGTTGCATGCCAGGGGTGGATGGCCCCGTGGAACGGCTTGGCAGCTGTGAGTAGAATTCGATAGAACCCAGTTCAACAAAGCTTGGGCAGAATCATCCACCCAGACGGTATGGTCCACCCAAATTTTAACAAGAGCTACGTGGTTAATATCCAATGCGTGGGAACTGACTGTAGAAATAGATTCATCGAGAACAGTTGACCATGCTCTGTAAAAAAACTTGGCTTTGGAACTGAGATGGAATTGGGGTCCGACCGGCCCTGCCGTTAGCTTTTTATGGGTTGAGGGACTTTTTACGAACTCGTAGCCCATTCAGCCCGCAGACCCGAATCCAACTCAGGAACCAAGACAGAACGGATCCCCCTTCGAGTCGCTCTGTATTTTCCCAAAAGAAGTCCTGGTCGACCGCAAACATAACAAGGGCGCCTCCGACTGGGCTGCAGTTGAACTCACCCTGGCCCCGCCAATACCGTTCTCGAAACCGACCGGTTGCACATACAATGAGTTGTCCTGCTTACCTACCACCTGGCAAGAACACGGACGACTTCTATGACTTCATTAACGCCGATTGCGACCCCCGATGCGTTTCTGGCAAGCGCTCGTACAGCTTATAAACCACCACATCTCCGACAACAATACCGCGCCGATTTTTCCCGCCACTCAACTCCTCGCTAATCATACCCATCGACAACAATACCGTGTCCATTATTCCGGTCGCTCAACCCCTCCATACCCATCGACTCGCACTGCTTCGGGACGTTCCAACGGCAACTCATTTGAATACGTAGCATCTGTCTCTACCAACGCCCCTACCGGTGCCAACCCAGTAGAAGGATGCGGCATGCTGTTCCGATACGGGGCCGGCATTTTCAACACACAAGGTCAAAGTACTCTCCTTTGAACTCGGTCCCTCCATCTACTAGCGCAGCAAGCGGTGCGCCAAAGTACCTGTACCAACGTCTCTAGCAGTAACTAAACACCTCTGCTACGTGTACAGGCCTTTTTGCCGGCTGCTCATTTGGATCCTTCAGAAAATTGCGAGGTTGCAGCCCGACTTCTTTTGTGGCCGATACGAGGAAGCTTCTGAAGGATTTGACTGCCCGACGGCTGAGGTGGTAAAACGGTCTTATAAACCTGAATCATTTCGTTCGGATCGACACAGACGCGACACCAACGATTTTGCCAACGAGGGCCAGCCATTAGAGGAGCCGGTGGCACTGGCAACGAGGGCCGGCCTTGTGCAGGGAAGTTGTTGACATTATTGAGGACTTCTTGCGGATCTTAGACTTCCTGCGGGGACGTTATCGTTGAGATGGCGTAGTTGGACTACTCTTTCCGTTTCAAAACTGTTTTTCCATTAGAACTGTGGTGCAGCCACAGTTCCGGCAAAGGTGAGATGAAATTCATGTTGATGAGACCGAAGTTGGGCCCGATCTACCCCCGCATATCGTTCAAGATTGGATGATCGCTTTAAGCTAGGCTGATCGCTTTAAGCTAGGCTGATCGCTTTAAGCTAGGCCGATCAAACTTTAGTTGAAATTATTCGTCGTATAAAAAAATTAGCAGCAAACTCTAGATCTGGTTTTGCCGTCCGACTTGTACGAGTTAACCGTTCCAATTCTGTGAGACGTGGCAGAACTAGTAGAGCTTCTCGGCTTGTGGGATTGGTGGTGGGATTGGTGGTGAGAGTGGTGTGACTGCATTTGTTGGTGAGATTCACCAACAACATATGCGCCGGAGTAGTTGCCGTTGACGGCCATCGCCTGGTGGGAGGAGTAGCTCTCTGCGGCTCCGCGGTTGAGGGACACCCCCTGCGAGGTCACCGACGGCCTCTTATTGCAACAGACCATGTTCCTCTTTGCGGCGTCGTTAGTGGGCGTCACTTCGCGCGTGTTAGTCACGAAGTAGTTCTGAGAGTTCAGCCCCGCTGTCTGGGACTGGGCGCCGCTGATGGTATGAGGTCTGCTTCCGGAAACAACGTTTGATGGGGACTGGTAGGCAGTGCTCTGATAGTTCTGAGAAGTGGTCTGGTAGGTCTGAGAAGTAGGTTGGTACTTCTGGGAAGAGGACTTGTAGTTCTGAGAAGCGGGTTGATAGTTCTGCTGAGAAGCAGCGGGTTGATAGTTCTGAGAAGCAGCGGGTTGATAGTTCTGAGAAGCAGTGGGTTGATAATTCTGAGAAGCAGTGGGTTGATAATTCTGAGAAGTGGTCTGGTAGTTCTGAGAAGTGGTCTGGTAGTTCTGAGAAGTGGTCTGGTAGTTCTGAGAAGTGGTCTGGTAGTTCTGAGAAGTGGTCTGGTAGTTCTGAGAAGTGGTACCCGGCTGGTTGTTGATTGTGGATGTGCGGTAGCCTTCGATGGTAACATCCTGGGGCGCAAGTATGTACTGGGACTCGTGCTCGGGCATGAAGTTGACTTTGTTGTTTTCGGCCACGAACGGCAGGTTAGAGCGGGTCTGGTCGTCGAGATGCTTGTTAAGAGAGCGGAGTACGGTGTTGTACTGAGCCGTAGTGATGTTAACCAGTTTGTGACGGCTGGAGACCATGCCGGATGCTTCAAGTGTTGATGCGACGGGTTTCGCCACATGGACATCGACGGGGATGACCTCAGGTTCGTAGTCGACAACAGCTACATCGAGTTGCTTGTTGGACTCTGTGATGATGGGTCGTACCGTCTGGTTAATAATGACGGGCACTTCTTCGTCTTGGTACACAGGCACCTCAACCTTCCTCTCTACAATAACGGGCACTTCTCTCGTGACATGCTCGACCACCTCGACCTCCTGATAAATTGGCCGCGTTTTTTGCACCTTCTTCTGAATAACATTATCCACCATCCGATCCTGCACAACCGGCACCTTCACTTCAAACGGCACGTCGTAATACTCAGGCACTTCAACACGCTGTATAACAGGCGCCATCGGCACTTCACGCACACGCTCCACTACCTCCACCACCGGCACATTAACAATCCGCTCCACTTCGCGAGTCTCCTTCTTCGTCACGTACGTCACCTGCTCCTCGTACGTAGGCACCTCCACAATCCGCTCAGTGTCCTTCGGCGCCTCCTCCAACACCACGGACTCCACAATCACCGAAGACACCTTCCGAGTACTCTCCGTCTTCCCCTCCTCGTATGCAGCAGCCGACCGCTGCTGCTGCTGCTGCTGCTGACCGGGATACTGCCTCGCCGAGTAGGAAGTAGTTTGCGGCTGAGTACTCATACCCGTAGACATGTGCTGGCTGCCCAGCTGCTGGCCCGTAGGCATGAGCTGGCTCGTAGTCATGTGCTGGCTGCCCAGCTGCTGGCTGCCCAAGTGCTGGCTCGTAACGTGTTGGCTGCCAAGTTGCTGGCCCGTAACGTGTTGACTAATTTGCTGGCTGCCAACAGAACTAGGCTGGAAACCACCAGTCAGGCCCGAAGTAGTTTGGTAGGCCTGCGTCATATCTGTCGTCGGCACCATTTCCACGTGAACGGTGGCCGAGGTAGGAATCATCGCAGAAGTAGAAATCATGGAAACTCCCTCGGGTATTTCCCCAACCACCTGTCTGACCACCTCTTCTCTGTTGACTTCGGTCATCTGGACAGATGCGGACTCTCTCTGCTGCTGCTGCTGCATACTAAAAATGGGGTGCTTTATAAATTTATTCAGATCATATTGTACCGGAGACATGCGCACACAACGGTGAGGCACCGCAAAATGTTGTTGATCGCTTTGGCATCGGCAGGCGTACGCGACTGTCCGAGATCACAAGCGCGGACGGGATCACGACATCAGAAAACAGGAAGGTGGGACGGGACCAGGCGCAGTGTCAGGCACTGGTCGCGCCAAGGGGTCAGGGGCGCACCCGAGGCTTGACAGCGCATCGGGACTGAATCCGGTTGTCGCACACGTGTGTGCGCGGGGTATATTTTTAGTGATCAAAAGTTTCAAGTAACACAACGAGGATGCAGTCTTCTAATTTCCAGCAATCTTCCATGTTGACAGCTACCCCCGCTGTATCTTCTACTTCGTATCAGCAGCAGAACAACGGCGCTGTCTACCAGGGTTCGAGCGTTGCTTACCAGCAAGGCTCGAGCAGCGTTTACCAGCAGGGGTCGAGTGCTGCTTACCAGCAGGGGTCGAGTGCTGCTTACCAGCAGGGGTCGAGTGCTGCTTACCAGCAGGGGGGAAACTCTACTAGCCGAACGATAACTGGCCAAGAGCGTGTGCAGAGTACGCGTAAGGTGTCGTCTACGATTGTGAACGAGCAGATGATGGGCCCGCCCCCCCAAGATCTTCCGGTGCGCGAGATTGAGGTGCCTGGCCCGGTGCAGGAGGTGGTGACCCACGTGCCGCGGAAGGAAGTGATTGAGACTGAGCGGCGGGTGCCGAAGTACGAGTATGAGTACGTAGACAAGATCGTGGAGGTACCCCGCATAGAGTATGTCGACAAGGTCGTGGAAGTGCCTCAGTACCACGAGGTTATTGTGGAGCGTAAGGTGCCTCAAGTGGTAGACGTGCCGCGCGAAGTGATCAAGGAAGTCAAGATCCCGCGCATTAACTATGTGGAGAAGCAGGTCGAAGTACCGGGCGAAGTCATTGAGGTGCCCAAGCACTTCACTGTCGAGCAGAAAGTAGAATTTACGCGATACAACGATCGCAAGAAACCTGTGGTGGTTGCCCAGGCGGTAAAGCCCCTCATTGTCGAGGGAGCCGGCTTCACGGAAGTCGACGTCTACGAGTACGAGCCTGAATGCGTACCAGTCGATGTGCACGTTGTCAAAGGCGTTCAGGCCCAGGTCCAGGCCGGCGGAGTCGTGGAAACCACCCACCGTGTTGTTACCATCCCTTCGGCGCAATATAACACCATCCTGCAGCAACTTAACACCCATCTTAACCAAACGGAAGTTCAGAAGCTGCCATACCTCCAGGAACGAGGACAGGTCACCTTCCTTGGTGAACGGATCCACTACACTGAGCCCGCACCAGGTGTAGTGATTCAAGGCTTTGACATGTCCAACCTGACAAACACGTATGTCGACCAAGCCAGTAGGAAGGTCCACCCTGTCCCCCCGCCTCCGGTTGCCGGCACAGGCGCCGCTGCCGGCGCTGCTGGCTACACTGGTGGCTACAATGCCGGCAACTATACCACCGGCGGTGCCAGCTACACTGCCGGCAGTTACCCTGCCGTAGGCGCCTCCAGGCCCGCCGTCACCTCCAGCGCGCTAGGCTCCTCCGGCTACAGGACCGCGCAGCAGTACTCATCTAGCCCGAACTACGCCAGCCAGCAGTTCACGCAGCACTCTACCACTACCTACTCGCAACCGCAGACGTACACCAGCACTAGCTACCAACAGCAGCCGGTGACCTACGCCCAACAGCCCATCACCAACTACGCCTAAGAACAATTAATTTTTTGCGACGAAAATGAACACCATATTTAAACCCTTGGTGAAGCTAGACCATTGCCGTGTGCAGTCACCCAGAACCGACCGGGTCTCCGTGTCCCACGCCGCTGACCGTCACCACCACCGCTCCACCACCGCTGATCGTCACCACCACCGCTCCACCACCACTGACCGTCACCACCACCACTCCACCACCACTGATCGTCACCACCACCGCTCCACCACCACTGACCGTCACCACCACCACTGACCACTTGGTGGATCTTGTGTGCGTGATCGGTGATTATTTGACGTTTTTGTTCGACGATATTTTTTGAAGAAGATGCAAGCCAGTACTCCTTTCATGTCTTCTATGAACCAGCAGCGGGTGGGTGGCAGCACGATCTCGTCTGCAACCCCTTACTACAGCAGCGGCGTGGTGGGTGGTGGCGCCATGATGGCTGGCAGCAGTCTCGTGGGTGGGGGTATGACTGGCCTGGCGAGTGCGAACATGATGGGAGTGAGTTCCGCGAACGTGATGAGCGCTAACCTGAGCAGCAGTGTACGCGGTACACCGGCTGGGCCGGAGCGTGTGCAGAGTACTCGCAAGGTCTCCTCTACGATAATTAACGAGCAGATGATGGGGCCGCCTCCCCAGGACTATCCAGTGCGGGAGATCGAGGTGCCCGGCCCCGTGCAAGAGGTAGTTACGCACGTGCCGCGCAAGGAAGTGATTGAGACTGAGAAGCGAGTGCCCAAGTATGAATATGAGTACGTAGACAAGATCGTGGAGGTGCCCCGCATAGAGTATGTCGACAAGGTCGTAGAAGTGCCTCAGTACCACGAGGTTATTGTGGAGCGGAAGGTGCCTCAAGTGGTAGACGTGCCGCGCGAAGTGATCAAGGAAGTCAAGATCCCGCGTATCAACTACGTCGACAAGGTTGTTGAAGTGCCTGGTGAAACCATTGAGGTCCCCAGGCACTACACCGTCGAACAGAAGGTCGAGTTCACTCGCTACCGCGACACCAAGAAACCCGTCGTCGTTGCACAGTCCGTAAAGCCCGTCATCGTTGAGGGCGCTGGCGTGACCGAGGTCGACGTCTACGAGTACGAACCTGAGGTCATTCCCGTGGACGTCCAGGTTGTAAAGGGCGTCCAGGCCCAGGTCCAGGCCGGCGGCGTCGTTGAAACCAACCACCGTGTCGTCTCCGTGCCTGCAGCGCAGTATAACACTATCCTCAGGCAACTCAACACACATCTCGTTCAAACCGAGACCAGCAAACTGCCCTTCCTCAACGACGGCTCGGGCCGTGTGAACTACCTCAGCGAACGGGTCGTCTACGCAGACCCGCAGCCCGGTGCTCAAATCCAGGGCCTGGACATGGCGAACATGCTAAACACGCACGTCGACCACGCCTCCCGCAAGACGCTCCCCGTCGACCCCTCCCGCTATCCAGGCGTCACTTCCGCCATGCTCGCTGGCATCAACGCTGGCGCGACTACTAGTATGACCACTACTGGCATGACTTCTGGCATGTATACCAGCTCGCCTCAGCAACTCGGCGGTTACAGCACTGGCGGTGCAGCGTACGGCGCCACCTCAACCAGCTACCTGCCTGAAGGGGGCATGGCCCGGACAACCTCCTACGGCACGGGCACGCTGGCGGGCGGCGCCGTCGGAGCAGGCATGGTCGGCGCGGGCGTGTACCGTTCCGGTAACATGACTTCATCCGTCACCCGGACACAGGGACCCACTGTCTACCAACAGGGCCCTATCAGCACGACTACCACCGCCATGACTACCAACTATCTCTAATTCCAGCGCTAGCTGCCATGACCATCAATCGGCTGTGGGTCCTACGCAGCAGGTCCAACCGAGCTCCAAGTGTAGTTCCACCTCTAAGCGTAGTTCGACCTAAGCGTACCTAGCGGGCTACCTTGGCTGGGCGTCCTAAGCGAACTCGGGAGCATTCAGTCTTTTTTTATAGCCACGAAATTTAAAGAACTAATTGCAGCACGAATGTCAATCAACTTGGGCTACAGACCGACCGTGGAGGACATTTGCAAGCTGCACCCGGACCTGGAGAATCTGGTGAAGGACGTCGACCGCCGCTTCGCCGCGGAAGCGCAAAAGCTCAACAAGGTCAAGGAACTGTACCAGGAAGTGACCTCGCTCAACGCGGGCTCTCGCGGGCAACTAGACCTCAAGGCCGCAGACTCTCAGCATGTTCGAAGAGTGACGCGAGGACCGGAAGACACGATGGAAATTATAGACAGCAGCTTGGTGCGCCTCCAGAGGATTGTGGACTGCCTTCAAAACGACTTTGACAGGCTCGATAATGGAATGCTCGTGAGCACGCAGGTCGAGCACTTGGAGTACCTCGACGATCTCCAACTCAAGACCGAGCTCCTGGAGTCGAGAGTGCAAGAAGCAAAGGATAGACTACGCCTCGCCAGCTTCGACGAATCCAGACTCATACAGTGGGCATGCGACCAAGTGAGGGCCCATGAGACCAGAATCAACGGTCTGCACTAATGCCCGCGCACGTTGCCGGGTGCGGGTCAAGAAATTCGCCTTCCTAAACACACTATCTAAGCACGCTAGCCAATCACACTAGCCAATGACACTAGCTGAGGACACTAACTAACTAAAATAGTCGGGCTCATTATGGAGCGCTGTGCCGAGTGGCGCGTTCGCACCATCTGACTCACCCTTCCCCAGTAACTCAATAGTGTTTAACAGTCGTGCTCCATTGAAGGCCTGCGGACCAGGATATATATAGGTGGCCACTCCTTTGTTGGGCAGCTTCTTCACCTTCTCGCCAAGAACTTTACACGAAATCATCTTCTGTAGCAAGGATTGGGTGTCACTCTCATTCCAACCCTGTTGTTTCATGTAGCCGAATCCTTGGCATTCCTTCAGTTGGGCTTCGAAAAACTGAAGCTTTTTTATCTTGTGTCCCAATAAGATGTTTCGGAGATCGATCAATGTCAAGTCCGGAGACCACGATCTTGTGTTCTTGACGTTCAGCGCAGCAATAATGTCGATTATGCGATTGACCTGCGCCCCGCACACACGTGTGCTAACCGATTTTGTGGTCGCGCAATTATCACATTTCAACAGACAGTTCGATTTGTCAAAGTGCTGCCCAAAATGGGCCATTAACAGTACGCGCCTACATGTCTTAACATCGGTACAGTATTCAAGTATTCCATTCAACGAGGTTTTCTTGTGCGCTAAGTTGGAGTTGGCGTCCTGTAGCATTTGATGTCGCGATTTGTCTTTCGGACTATAAAATAGATGACATTCACCCACTTCTCCGTCCCTACCGGCCCGTCCGGATTCTTGGTAATAGTTTTCTATACAATTGGGCATAGCAAGATGTATAACAAAACGAACGTCCTTCTTGTTGATGCCCATTCCGAATGCAATCGTGGCGACCATGACTGAGAATTCATCATTCATCCACTGCTTCTGTATCGTCTCCCTGTTATTTACTGAGCTGTGATACGCTTTACACCGGATACCGGCGCGATTAAGTTCGACAGCAACCTCATCACAATTTTTCCGTGACAGACAGTAGATAATTCCAGGGCATGCTGCGCCATTGCTCTTTAAGAACTTGCCTCGGATCAACCTGATGATTTCCACAACGCCAGTCCCCTGACGCTCGTGAACAATATATCGAAGGTTTGGCCGGTTGAACGACGTTAGAAATACTTGCGGGTCGCGCAGGGCCAGCTGGCAGCAGACGTCGTTAATGACCTCAGGCGTCGCCGAAGCAGTCAAGCACAGGAAAGGTACAGAAGGACAAATTTCTCGGAGCCTTTTAATCTTCCGGTAGTCCGGACGAAAGTCATTTCCCCACTGGGATACACAATGTGCTTCGTCAATCGCTATGAGACCAAGCCTGTTTGCTTCGTACATCTTCTGCACCAACGACACCAACGACGAGGACGCGCTAATCTTCTCAGGAGTAATGAAGAGGACCTTCAATGCGTCATCGGACAAACTGAAAGTAACCCACCATAGCCCAATATAACCATTAGCCCACCGTAGTTTAACCATTAGGTCAGCCCCCGACACAGTGCCCCCCCCCCCCGGTCGAGGCTCGGGCCGGACCAGTTATGCCCAGAGTTATGCGTAACCACCCAGGCCGTGCGTAACCCCTAGCTTACCATTCGTCGTAAATTGAAGATACCTCTTCCCATCCTTGGGTCCCCTGAAGAACACGGCAGCCGATTCCACTGTCGTCCAAGAACTGTTGTTGGTCTTGCATCAAAGATATGAGCGGCATGACGACGATGGAAACGCCGGATGTGGCCACAGCGCCGAGCTGGTAAATTATGGACTTGCCTCCACCGGTGGGCAGCAGCACAAACGTGTCCTTGCGGCTCAGGAGGCTGTTTAAGGCTTCCTCTTGCAAGGGCCTGAACGACTGGTGACCAAAGACTCCCCGGTTCAATTCACCAAGGCGCTCACTCCACGAAAAATCATTTCGGAACCATGGCGAATTCTCCGCGGTACACAAGGTATACTTCCTCGGCACCGCCTTATTGTGAGCCGCTCCTTGCGACTGGATTCCAGCTTGTGATTGTGCCCCAAGTTGCGATTGAATCCTAAGTTGCGACTGAACCTCAACTTTTGCTGGGACCGGCCGCCGCTCGTCCAAACCAGCCCGAGAATCGATCCACTGCGGTGGGGCCGCAAGACACGCCCCCCCGGTCTTCTTGGTCGGCTGCAAACCCCCTACGGGTTGGGAACTCCTCACTGGTTGGGAACTCCTCACGGGTTGGGAGTTCTTTCCGGGCTTGTAGCTGTCCGCATGTTTAATCGCTTCGAGCCCGACCGGTTGGAGACCATTGGGTTTCTTCTCCAGTCGGTGCAGCGGGTTCTGCAGGCGTCTCAAAGTCGCCGCTTGGTTGAAGCATGGAAAGGTCTTACGCCGGTCAGCGTCTCCAACCGTTTCACGAACCTTTTTGGCGTGCGCCCCAGCTGGGTCACCGTTTGATCTCTTAGTCTGCCACGCACCTCCTGCACGAGCTGTTTGGATAGTCTTTCTGGTCAAAAAATCCGCGTCATCCACTGTGCCTATATCATCACCCCCCGCGCCGCCTGCTAACGCACTCTCACCTGGCAGTGAAATCTCGTCTGGTAATGTGCTTTCACTTCTGCTAGCGATGAACTTCCAGTTGAGTAACATCTTGTCCAAGCTGCTGGGCCCAAACATGTCTAACTTAAAGTCAGCTCCAGCACCTAGGTAGGTTTCAGCGTTTAGTTTGTGTCCAGCGATTGACTCGGCCGTTAACTCATTAACTGAGTTAACCGCCGAGTTAACCGCCGTGCTAACTGGCGAGACAGCACGTGTAGACCTGTTCAGTTCGATCTCACCTGAGTTTCTGAGTGGTATCAGATCTCTGTTGAGACATTGAGCGAAGTCCACTTTCTGTACTTGACCAGACACATCGTGTGAACTTAACTGGGAGTCCGATCTTAACACAGGATCCGAACCTAACTGAGAACCAGAACCTAAGCTGGAGTTCGGTCCTGAACGTGGGTCCGAATCTGTGTCGCCTACTCCGGAATTTACATCTGAGTCTACAGCTGAATGTGCACTTGAATCTACACCTGAGTCCAGACCGGAATCTAAGCCGGAGTGCAAACCTAGACACTGACCGGGTATTGTACTCAACGTTTGATCCAATGCTTGTTCCAGCGGCTCATCTAGTTCGTGCAGGCCGTTCTCCAGTTCGTCCAGGTCGTCCAAGGTCATGATCTGCAGTGACGCTCTGTTGTTACACAGGTCAGGCTCCGGTCGTAATGAAGTCTGTCTGAAGGAAGAAGCGGTGCGTGGTGGCAATTGTGGGCCGGGACGAAGTTGGTGCACGGTGGTGACGCACGGTGGTGACGCACGGTGGTGACGCACGGTGATGACACAGTTCGCACAGTTTTACGTTCTGACCTCAGTTGTTGGCACTTCTCCAAAATCGGCAAACTGAGCGTTGGGCAACTCCAAACTCGTAACCATTGCGGCTAGGCAGCTGTTTTTAAGTACGTCGCTAATAGAGGGAGTGCGAGTGCCAAACGTTTGGTCGACCCAGCCGAAGAAGTTGTTTTGAATGATATGTGTGCCATAATGTGCGCAAGTGGGAACCTTGCGTTTGGTGGCCAAGTTACTGCCTACAATCCCTAGCCTTGATGGCAGTGCAATTTGCTGATCGACCGCCGTATTCCCTGTCTTGGTTTTGGCCTTGGGTCTCGAAGCTTTCTTCTTCGATGGCGAACGCTTTGGGGCAGCCTTGGTTTTACGCGGGGATGTTGCTCCCCTCGTGGCGGCTGTAGGCCTTGAGGCGCCTGTAGACCTAGACCCCGTAGATCTAGAGGCGGCAGTCCTGGAGCCAGCGGTGGCAGTCCTGGAGCCAGCGGTGGCAGTCCTGGAGCCAGCGGTGGCAGTCCTGGAGCCAGCGGTAGACCTCGAGACTGCAGACCGTGAGCCTGTTGCTGGTCGGGCTGCGGTAGTTCGTGACACCTGTTTAGGACCTGACTTGATCGTTTTCCGGCTGGCTTGACTAGGGCTACCGCCAGCACAGTTCCCGCCCCTGTTTCTGGCACCGGTTTTGCCGCGTTCGCCAGGAGACATTTTTCCAGCCAGGGGCGTTAATAATGGTATAAGTAATTCGCGGAGATGAGCACTGACAATTGTCTCGGTAGTGAGTTCTTACAGGCTAGCGGCATACGTGCTGCAGAGTGGTTCATACGGGGCTTGGCTTATGATATTTGGATTGCTGACTATAGCTTTCTGCTTGGCCGCCGCATCTGTTTATTGGTCAGTAGAGCTGCAATTACATCCTGACCAGGACCAAGCTTCGAGAATTCTGGTGGTTGCCGCATCTGTACCTTCGCCGACACCCACAACCCTTCACGTGGAAATACCACCGGGTACAAATCTTTATGGTAGTCTTTAGATTTGCTGAGCGTGGTTTATTACGCCCTAGTGATAATAGGTGATTGTGATTTGCTGATGACAATACTATGGAATTCAATTTGCGACCTATTCCCATTTGAGTACTTGGAATGGATTGTCCTTCAGATTCTCAAGTTATCCTTAGCCACCAGAATTTTGGAAGCCGTGCTCCTGGTGGCATACAACACTCGGCTTTGTAACTTGGAAGCTTCAGAGTATTGTGAAGATCTAATTGACGAATATTCTATCGCTGATGCGTTGGCGATCTGGTACATGCTGATCGTATGTCTTACAAAGCAAAGCGTTCTGGTGACCGGTGAGGAGGGTGGGGAGAGCAGCAACGAGCGTCGTGGCAAGCTGGCACCACTGTCAATGGATCATCCGGGCACACGGTTATCACCCCTACACATTAAACCAAGACAACTATCACCAAGACAACTATCAGCAAGACAACTATCAGCAAGACAACTATCAGCAAGACAGAATTCTAGACAGGTATCTGGCAGGAGGCTATTCGGCAGCAACACGGGGAGACAACCGACTCGGGAAGGGTCCCGAGACAGGAGCCACTCGGAAACTAAACAAAGGCTGGAGGGGTCGACGAAACGGAGACAGCCGCGACAGGCAACAGAGCAGAAGAAACATCGTCTAAAGTTTAGTTACCACAGTTGGCGACGTTGGACGCAGGTATTAAATGTGTGTATTGTCATTCTTCTGTGTCTCCGCACATACGACTGGAAACACCGTCTGCATGCTCTCTCTCGAAGGCAGAACTTCCCCGTCCTTGGCCCTCCATCCATACTCTTCTGTATCGACTGGTGTGTCCGCAGTGTCGTCAAACACAAACTGCATATCGACGTCGCCATTCTGACCGACAACGATAAGTCGATCCATCTCAAACTTCTCAAACCTGGACTGCCCACTAAATCGCCTGCTACCCACAGACCCTCGGGAGGCGCCTCCGGGACAGCAAATGTGCCGCCCAATGCTGGAACAGGTACCGTGGCTGAACCGGACACAAACCAATCGGCTGCCTACTGGAGCGTCCGGCCAGGCGACGCCGTAATCCCCATCCACGAGTCTGAACACCTGCCGTCTGAACACCAGCGATCTGAACACCGGCGGTCTGACCACCCACGGTCTGAGCGGCTGCGGTCTGGCTATCAGAGCTCTGGCTACCTGGGGTCTGAACCCCAGTCGATGAATCCAAGATCTGCGAGAACCAGGTCGGAGAGGGGCGCAAGGTCGGAGAGGAGCGCAAGGTCGGAGAGGAGCGCAAGGTCGGAGAGGAGCGCAAGGTCGGAGAGGAGCGCAAGGTCGGAGAGGAGCGGTAGGTCGGAGAGGAGCGGTAGGTCGGAGAGGAGCGGTAGGTCGGGCTCGAGAGCACGCTCGTCGATAAAGACAGGTGGCGAGATTGCATCGGGGTCCTTCTCGACTAAGTCTCCCCCGACCAAGTCGGCCCTCCCGGCTGTGGAGGGTCTCGCCGCCGGTGGGCATTTTTGGTATGAGTTTTGGAGATTCCACGAGTCGTTTATGACTCAGTTCCGCGTGCCATGTATTTCGTTGTTGAAGCGGCGTCCAATGCTGTTGCGAGGACAGGACGCGACGCACTTGTACTATCGGATCGGCGTGGTCGAGGACAGTTGGAGCTATGATCTATGGCATCTGTTGAGCACGGTGACCGCGCAGGTAGGTTACGTGAAAGTGTTCAAACGCTTTATTGATGGGCGTCCCGTACGCTCCTGGTCCGCGCGAGGCAGGGTAGCCCAAACCCCACCCGGTGCAGAGGGTGTTAGCTGGACCTTGCCCCGCGGTGCCGGCGCACTTGGAAGCCGTCAGGCGGGGGCGCAAGTCCCGCCGCGCTCAGTCTCCGTCTCGGTCGCCCAGCTCCAGCAGGGACCCGCGCACTCTCGCCGCAGCTTCCTCAAGGCGGCCCTCGTCAACCCTGCCCCCCAGCGCACGGCCACCCAAACCGCCGTCCAAAAGCTCAGCAAGTCCCGGGGAGACTCGATTCCCAGAGACTGCGGACGGCGTGACTCCGTCCACAGGCTCTCAGCCCGGGCATCTACTCGTCGCGACTCGGCACCCGGGGGCTACGGAGTACCTGGAGACTACGGAGCACCTGGAGACTACGGAGTACCTGGAGACTACGGAGTACCCGGGGACCACGGGGAAGCCTGGCCTGCGGGGGAACGGTTGGCAGACAACTGGCCAGTAGAAAACTGGCCCCTTGCCAGTGCCTGGCCGCCGGGAGTGCGTCCGGAGCTGGAGGAGTGTGTTCGTCGACCATCGCCGCCGGTAGCGGCGCCGAGTAAGAAGCTGTTTTTCGGGTCGCGGTTGTCAAAGCTGGCGGGTGCCATGAGAACGCAGCCCCCGCCGCCGGCACTTGTGTGCGATCGTCAAGGTCGTTGTTGCATCATGACCCCGGCTCAGTTGGAGCTGGCATCGGCCACGCCTTCGCCGGTGGTGCGCGATGAGTCACCGGGTAACCTGCTGTTGGCGCCTGACTTTTACCGTTACCACCAGAGGTCGTCCTGCCAGCGCTTGAATTCGAATCGGCGACTAAATTCTAGCCAGAGAACGGCTTCGAACCGGCGACTAACCCCTAACCAGTCTCCTGGTCTAGGATCCGACCGGCGGTTGGTGGCCGAATCAAGTCGATTACCAGCGTTCAGTCAAGGGTCGAGTTTCCGCCGGCGGCCGAGTCTGCGGCCACGCGGGAGTTTCCGGCAGCGCACGAGTCTACGGCTTGGCGCGAGTTTCCGGCAGCGACTAAACTCGAACCAACGACCTGCGGCTGGTTCGAGTCAGCAACGGCCGGACTCTAGCCGGAGTCGACGGTCCTCGATCACGGCCGCGATCTCCGCACGTTGGCGCAGGATCGTCTCCCCCAAAAACACCACCTCACCCAAGGGCTTCCGCAACACACGCCGACGCCAGTCCATGCTAGCATGGGCCCCCTTCGATTCGCACGGTGACGGCTGGTCGGAGCATTCCTCGTCGATGCATTCTGAAGACGGTTTTAGTTCGGACTCTGACTCGCTCTCCGACTCCGTGGAGTCCAGCACCGTCTCCAGCGATCCCGACTTCTCAGACTTCTCCGACCTCAGTTTAGACCGGAACTCCGCTCTCAACCCGTCTGGTAGACGTTTGCCTGCCGACCCCGGAGTCCCTATAGGCCTCGCCTTGGCACCCGGCGCCCCTCTCTCGCGTGCATCTCACGCGTCTTCCCACCCGCTCCTCTCCGGCTCCTCAGCCGACGTCCGAGCGACCCCCGGCAACTACCACCGCCAAGTGCGCGCTCAGCACGCACGCGCACCGCGCGCATACTCGCCGAACGTCTGTGTTGGTCCAAACGCAGCTGCGACCAACTCCGGTGCGACCAACTCCGGTGCCGGTGCAATGAACTCCGGCACGACGAACGTGTGCGCGAACGTGTGCGCGAACGTGTGTGCGAACGTGTGTGCGAACGTGGGTCCTCCGAGTGCTGGTGCAAACACGTGTGGATCCACCGGTCGCCATAGTGCCGGCGTACCAAGAGGCTATCTTAGTCGGGGGCGGTCTGGCGGTACCCAGCGACTGGCTGCCGGTCGTCTGTTATACAACGGGCGCAAAAGGACGGCATACCTCTCCGATGAAACCGGCGATGAAGAAGAGAGCATGGATGAGGCACCCCCACGATCCTACCATCGCGACCGACGAGAACGAACGCTGCTAGCTCCGTTGGCGTCTAGTTCGCACACCCGATCAACCGCCCAAAAGTCAGCCGTGGGTGTCCGGACTGGCGGCGACAAATTGTTAGGTGACAAGTTGTTCGCCCCGTACCAGGCAGTGGCCAGCGCGAGCAGCCTCGAGTTCTCCACTACCGGCGTTCATGGCAGCCCGTTTTCCTGGCAGCTCAGGTTCGGCAAGGACCTGGAGTCGCACACAGACGCGGAGGGGAGTCGAAATGCCGAGGGGAGTCGAAAGGAAGAGGAAGGGGCTCACAAGGACCCACATCAGGAGAGGAATAGCGCAGGAGGCGGCTCGTCGAGCAGGGGACGAGTGCCCTGTGCACGAGTTGTCGACCCACTGTTCGCGGAACCGTTGTACCAAGTGGGCCACATGGACTCTGGTCCCATTATGGGTGGGGTGCCGGCCGGCCGTCGGGTGTCCGACTGGTCGGCGGTTCGAAACCGTTCGGCGGCGGGCAGCCGTTCCGCCGGCGGAAGTCGTTCGGAGAAAGTTCCAAGCCTGGACGCTCCAGAGCGCAGGGGAAGAAGCCGTACGGACTATAATCGCCGCTATTCAACCCACCACTCGGGCGCACATCTAAAACCCTTCCAGCAGGCCGCAGCGGACACGGAGTTCTTCCAAAACACGCTGCGAGGCACGACCGAGCTGGGCTCGGAGTGCGGACCAAAAGTTCCGAAGCGACGGTCTCATAACCGTTCCAGCGTGCACTCCCGTAGTGACTATTCTTGTAGGAGCATGCTGGCCGATTCGGAGACCTCCTCCAGCGGGGACTTCACCGCCAGCGACGAGAACGCCGGCGGCCACGGCTGTGCCTCTTTGGAGTTGCCCGGAGATATTTTGAGGAGGATTTCGCGGGTGGACCCCGAGGACCTCCACTCCTCTGACCGTCGGTCTTCTGACCTCCACTCTTCTGACCGTCGGTCTTCGCGTGACCGGCGGTCGGCGGGGAGCCTGCAGCTGTTGCCGCAAAAACCACACTTGTCGGCAACGTACGTGGAGGGTTGTCCGCGCTACCGCAGCGGCCGTGGCCCCTTCGAATCGATTCCAGTGGTAGAGACGGACCAGTCGGCACTGGGCGACGCGTCTAATCATACGAGTTGCTCGCATCTGAAGGAAGTGCGCTTCTCGGCCGTGAAGCAAATGACTACGGCCCGAGGCTCATCCCCGCGCATTGTGGTCCGCAGCGAGAGCGACCCGCGGGGACGCCCACTCCGAGACGGCCTTGCCTCCGGCAGTTTGGACGGCGACGACCTGGACCTCGAACTAGCCACTGCCCTCGGCCTGGGTCCCGCCAGCGACCCAGACGGTGCTGGCCGCCTGGACCTAGACGGTCACGACCACCTAGACCTAGACGGTCACGACCACCTAGACCTAGACGGTCACGACCACCTGGACCTAGGCTTAACTGGGGGTGGTGACCATCTAAGTCGGGACCACCCAGGCCGGGACCATCTGGCCGGTCCAGAAGGTCTCAGCCCGGGCAGCCTGCAGACCGAGGGGCGGCTGCACCACTTCGAGCAGGCGGGACTACGGGCTGAGCTCGCGCCGATTCCGGAGAGCATGCGGACAGAGAGCGTGCGGACAGAGAGCGTGCGGCCTGCACACTTCTTCCAACAGGCGGGGTCAAACACGCGACACATGGGCGCCATCGTCGAGAGACCTTTGCTTCGTCCTGGAGCCGACGTCGCAGACGGTCCCGACGTCACAGGCGGCCCGGCGGGGAGCCTGCTCCTGCCGCCGCCAGCCCCTTCACAAACCGTGTATCTGCAGCTGCCAATTGGTCCCCGTGCCGTTGACTCGCATGAGATGCATGTCTACCCCTTCGGCCGCCCGGACCGTCCGGACGCCTTCCCCTCAGGTCGAGAATCCTTCCCGTTGGGTCCAGACCTGGGGCAGGGCCTTCGACGCGCGACGGTCCTCGGGGCCGAAGATGACCGCGTGGTCGTTCCGATGGGCGCTGGAGGACACACGCGCCCACGGCGGAGCCAGTCGCTGCTGCTCGGTCTCGGGCTCGACTCTGTCGACCCACTCATTCGCTGGACCCCTGGTGGCCTCCCCCCCCTCAACGCAGGATCCCCCATGAGCTCGGCCCCTCTGGGTTCCGTCTCTCTGGGCATGCCCCTCGGGCCAGCCACCCCCACCACCTCCCTGGCCACCCCCCTGGGCATCCCGCCGGGGATGCGGCCCAGTCTTTCACTCAGCAAGGCCTTCGGCTCGGGCGGACTCCTGAACTCTGGCGGACTACTGAACCGTCACAGCTTCCTCGCTGGCCTGACGAGTTCGTTGCCTGCCCGGAAACTGCCTCCGGACTCGAGGCTGCTCCCGACGGGGTCGTTGCCTGCAGGTTCTCTGCCTGCAGGGTCCCTCTCCCTCGCAGCGGGGACTCTCCCAGCGGGGACTCTCCCAATGGGGACTCTCCCAACGGGGACTATCCCAACGGGGACTATCCCAACGGGGACTCCGCCCACCGGGTCGGTCCCCACCGGTCCCCTGCCTGCAGCCGCCTTGGCCGCCTTGGCTGCAGCCGCCCTGCCCACAGGTCCTCTGTTGGGTTCGTTGCAAACGATGCCGGGTCGCGGGAAGTCGTCAGGACGGCGCGGGAAGTGTGTGCTATTCCAGACGGAGCAGACGTCGAGTCTGTCGGCGGATGGATACCTGATTCAGGAGAGTAGTTCGGCAAGTTCTGTCCCCGACCGGGGTCTGACGGCGGAGAGTTCGCTGGTGCCGCCGAGTTCGGCAGATGACGACGTCGTGTTGGGAGCACTGGGGAGACTGCGGCCGCGTGGTGGAGAAAGTAAGTCGCGCAGTTCGTCACACAGTTCGCACGGGATAGGACTACACAATCATCCAGCGGGACAGCCGGCGCGTCCTTCACGCAAGCATCCGGCTGAACTGGGTGAGGCCCCAGTGCCATCCACTAGCTTCCCGGCCTCCAGTTACGAAGACGCCGCCGGTTTCTTGCCCAAGCCGGTGCCTCTGAGCGCCATGCCACTGGGCGCCATGCCACTGGCAGGCATGCCGCTCGGTTCCATGGACAGCTGTCTAACACACGTTCGCAGCAGGCTTCATAGACATTGTCCCAATGGTAGCTGCGTACCCGACGGCAGCTGCGTACCCGGCGGGGGACTATACCTCGTTGCCAAACTCATCAACCGCCAAGACATCGCCAACGGCTTCCTCGAGTGGACCCAGCCACGCAACTACCTCACCATCTGGAACAGCGTCGACAGTGAACTGATCAGCATCCTCCCCGAAAACACTCTCACTCCTGCCCACACTCGCGACAAACCCCCCACCCACCACGGCCATCAGCGACCACTCAGGAGGCGACAGAGCGCCTACCCGGCAGCCGACGACTTGGTCAACCTGCGACTCGGCCCACAACACAGTCATAGTCGGGGCCTTTGCCAGAACACGGGTCGCAGGCATGCAGATCACAGCGTAGGCCGCAGCGTAGGTCACAGCGTAGGTCACAGCAGTGCGGCACGCGCTGGCGACCAACCAAGTGCGTTGTCCAGCCGGTCGGGAGGTGACGTCAAGATTTGCATTGCCGAGAAAGAAATCAGTCCCAGGTCGGGGCCGACTGGTTCTGCCATGACTGGTTCGGTGTCGACTGATTCTGCTTTGACTGGGTCTGCCTTACCGAGCAGTGAGTCCGAAGCCGTAACTGGTTCGTCTACGTCTTCGTCGGCGACCATGGCAGCGTTTGCTTCTGTCGCGGCTGCGCTTACGGCGTCTGCTCGGAATGTGCACGCGGAGGGGGCTTACAGTTTCGGTGGGCTGCGTTGCCGCGCTAATCCGCATTCGCCACCGGGTCGGCAGTCATCACCGGGTCGGCAGTCATCACCGGGTCGGCAGTCATCACCGGGACGGCAGTCACCGTTGGACGTGTTACGGTCGCGACCGACCTACTCAATTGGGGGAGGTATACAGGTCAAATCGCCGGTCAGTCCGTACGAATTAATGAGTCCGCGCGATTTATACTACTTAGATGACGCTGTCATTGACCGCATCCGCAAGTGGGACCAACGCATAGAGTGCAGCTTACCCGTCTTCTGCAAAAACCGGGTAGATGACGGATCCAAACACCTCATGATCGTCTGCAGCGGTCTCGGCATCCTACGAGCACTTTACCGAATGCAGGAAATTGTCGGCTTCTGGGATACCTACGGACTCATACCACCTCATAACCCTAACATCAAAAATATACTCATTCGCAACACTCTCACCTCGGACCAGTAACATGCACCGCCGGTCCATTCCCGCCGGTCCATTCCCGCCGGTCCCTTCCCGCCGGTCCATTCCCGCCGGTCCATTCCCGCCGGTCCATTCCCGCCGGTCCATTCCCGCCGGTCCATTCCCGCCGGTCCCCTCATCTCACTCCCTCATCTCACTCCCTCCCTGGTCTCACCCCGGTGCTTCAGCATGAGGAACTTTGGTAGCCTTCTGCAACAGACGGTTCACACTGCTGACTCGTTGTACAGCACAATGTACAGGTAAAAAAGGACACCCCCTCCCCGCTCGAACTCACCCGCTCGTGGAGCGCTCTCCGCTGGTCGAGCATCCACCAAGTCTCATTCCCGTCTGAAGCACGTCTCGGCCGCGTCTATGTGTCGCATCCGGCATTGGTCTGATCGAGGACACATTTCGGGTTGTAGGGCGGCTATGACGCACATGAATTTGGTGTTGACGGTGATGACTCCGATTACGATGGTGTTACACCTGAACGCGGCGGGGTCGTGGTTGACAGCCGCGCTGTTGATGATGAATGTGGTGGCGATAATCGGTGAGCTAGGTCGCTGGGGGGAGGGGGGAGTGCGACGGAGCTTTGTGTGGACGGTTGCGGACGGGCTAGTGTTATTGTGTGCTTGTGCTTGTTTATTGTTGAACTATTCGTCTTCGTCGAGCGATAGTAGTTTGGCGGGCCGATTGGGTGAGATTTCCATCTCGATGGTATGCGTGCATTACAGTTGCCACCCAACTTGGTCAGGACCAGGGTTGAGCAAGGCGATCGGGATTGGGCTGACCTGCACGGCGGCCTATCGCGCAATCCGCACCTTTCTCACCTCCCGCTGGCTCCACTCCGACCCCGTCAGTCGCTCGGGCGTTCGACCCGACCGATGCGCCTGCGTCTCCATCGACTGCATCTGGGCCATCTCGCAATGCTCCCCGCGACTGCTGCACTACGTCAACTCCGAGTTCCTCCTTCTCAAACACCGCGCACACTGCCTACAACTCGACATCGTCGCCATGACCCAAATGCAAACAGATCCAGAAGACCTTGGACATCCCCAAAGCACCCGGAGGAAACGAACACCCTTTCGCCTGCTCACCACCATCATTAACAAAGACGCACACAAATGGACCCGACTTCGCTGGCACCACGACCGCGGGGACCACCGCAACGAGGACCACCGCAACGAGGACCACCGTAGTGGAGACTACCGTAGTGGAGACTACCGTAGTGGGTATCGCGACGGAAACAACCGCGATGGCTACGGAATTAGGGAAGAAGGGACAAGTCATCGGGAACATCATCGGCCAGGACAAGTCAGCTTACAAACAAGCTGTATGGGCAAAGCTTCGGTGTTTGGCAGAGCGGCGGCCCTCGGGAAAGCTGCAGTGCGGGGCAGGACCCCGGAACACGCAGACTACGTCCAAACTTGCAGCAGCGAGGGCAGTGCAGGACCAACGGGTGTCCGACGTCAAGATGGCCGGTACGAGCAAAAGCGGGTGAGCATCCTCGCCAGCAACGGGTCCACCACCACCACTGCAGCGCCCCCGAACGAAAACGAAGAGGAGCTGCGCATGGGTTCGAAACTGGTCACGCCCAAACGCCATTGCCGGCTAGCCTCGCACCGTCAGTTCACCAGCGGCGCCACTCTGCTCTCCGTCATGAAACAGTGTCTACAACGGCACGCAACTTCCTTCACCGGCGGCGCCCGCATGCGCATCGAACTCAGCGCGGACCAAGAGGTTCACGCCCAAGTCATAGCCCTAATTCCTAACATAAAAGAATATTTACACCTAATCAGCAAAGTCAGAGGCAAAATCACCCTAGCGGAGTAACCCCTTCCCAAGACGAGTATCCTCACTATCCTAGCGGCGCACCCCCCACATAAAGAACGTATCCAACCGGCTAAGGAGAAATTGCGCAGCCTTTCGGGCGCTGAACAAGGCGCGGCAACCTGAGCACACGTGTGTGCTGCCGATCGAACACACACATTCCGCCAGATACCCGCCAGCAAAAGAATTAGAACCACTTCCGGGCAGCGTCCAGCAGTTCGGCCGCGCTTAAGGACGCGGGTGCCGGCGGAGAGGCGCCTTCCGTTTCGGGATGAAGTCTCTGCTTCACCAAGTCGGATACTTTGTCTTTCCCGATGGTGCCGGCGGCATTGACTTCCCTCATTAGGTCCTTGAACTCGTCGGAACCTACCGCCGGGTCCAAAGCCAGATCTCTCACCTTGCCCAGCATGCTATCCTCATCTGCTGAAGAGTCCCGCAGTATCCGCTGCAAAGTCTCCCGGCGCGTTTGCTCTGCACTTGTGCCCGCGACTGCGCTTGTCTCCGCGGCTACGCTCTTGGGCGAAGTCTGAGTTAGTCCTAGCCTGGCCCTCAACTCCGCTGCGGTGATTTCGGAACTGGAAGAGCTCGTATTCGGCTCTTTTGCAGGTGGCGCCTTTAACGGAGCCATCTTCATCGGCGGAGGTCTCGTCGGAGGAATCCCCTTGGTCATGGGGGCAGGCGGCGCGGCAGAGGGGGCCACCTTGGCAACCACGTTCTCGCTGGAGCCAGCCGCCGCCAAGCCTTCCACCGCCATCTTCTTCAACAACGCGTTCGTTCCCGCCTTCGCGGCCTCCATCCGCTTTTCCTGCGTCCGCTTGTCTTGCTCGTCCAGAGCGGGCTTGTTGATCTCGTCTGTGCTGAGCTCCGGCAACGCTCGGGGAGGCATCGGCTTCTCTCTTGTCAGATCCACCTTCACAGCCTGGATGTCGCCGCCCGTCACCGGCAACGGAGACTCCGGCTCCTTTGCTCCCTCCTTCGCCAGCGGCGGCACGCCCTTCGCCGGCGGCAGTGTCTTTGTCGGGAGGGTCTTCAGCGGCAGCGCCTTTGTCGGAAGCGCCTTTGGCGGAGGCAACGCCTTTGTGGGGGGCAAGGCCTTGGCTGGGGACGAAGCGCCAGCCAACTCATTCTCTCCGGCCGCTCCCAATTCGTCTGGCTCGGCCTGATCTGGTTTACTTGCCGGCGAAACCCCGCTAGGTGTCTTAGCCGGAGGCAAGGCCTTCGCCGGCGGCTGCGCCTTTGTCGGGAGTGTCTTTAGCGGGAGCGCTTTTGTCGGAAGTGCTTTAGGCGGAGGCAACGCCTTTGTAGGGGGCAAGGCCTTGGCTGGGGATGGAGAGGCAGCCGATTCATTCTCTCCGACCGCTCCTAATTTATTTGGCTCTTGGGACTCAGCCTGATCCGGCTTACCTGCCGCGGAAATCCCGCTAGATGTCTTAGCCGGAGACGTGCCTCCATGTGGTTCACTCGGCTTCGAGTGATCCCGGGCTAGTGCCTCCATCGCCTCAGCTGTCTGCTCTTCAGCGGCGCCAGTCGCCCCTGCATTCGCCTGAGGGGTTTTCAACGGCAAACCTTTAGGTGGGGGCAAGGCCTTCGGCACTGGCTTCACAGGTGCTAGCGCCTTCGCCGGCGGTACAGGCTTCACTGCGGGGCTGGGGGATCCGGGTTCAGCGGAAGCTAGAGTTTCAGTCGCAGAAGGAGTCTTCGATGTCAATGGAGCTTTACCAAGCGGCGGAAGCTTGGGGGTCAACGGAGTCTTGGCCGTAGGTGGAGTCTTCGGAGTGGCTGGAGCGCCGGCCGTTGGAGGACTCTTGGGAGTCAATGGGACCTTGGCCGTAGGAGGAGTCTTCGGGGCTAATGGAGCCTTACCCATTGGTGTAGGCTTGGGAGTCAATGGAGCCTTACCAAGCGGCGGAGGCTTGGGAGTCAATGGGGCCTTGGCCGTAGGCTGGGTCTCCGGAGTGGCTGGAGCGTCGGCCGTTGGAGGACTCTTAGGAGTCAACGGGGCCTCGGCCATAGGCGGAGTCTTGGGTGCTAATGGAGCCTTGCCCACCGGTGGAGGCTTGGGAGTCAATGGCGCCTTACCCAGCAGCGGAGGCTTGGGAGTCAATGGGGCCTGGGCCGTAGGAGGAGTCTTCGGAGCCGCTGGAGCCTCGGCTGTCGGAGGAGTCTTGGGAGTCAATGGGGCCTTGGCCGTAGGCGG